CTCCCACATAAAAGTACTGGCCCAATAAGGGTTTGCCGAAAGCACGCGTATGCTCGCCAAATGCCCTTTCGAATTGGTCCATGGGAATTTTCGCAACTTTAAAGCCGAATTTAGCTTAAAAGCCTCTGGGCCTAACTGTACTCAGAAAAAAAACCGTTGACTTTGTGGCAGGCCTGCCATCTGAAGAAAGATCAAGTTCTGCAGTAATAAACCAAAGGGGGATCACCAGAACAGTCTGTCTGAAAGGGTGGCTAAGCCTGCAGAAGACCGCTCGAGCTGATAGACCGTCGGCCATCCCGTTTGGCCGATCCCAGCGACAGTTCTCCCATTCTCATTTTCGCAATTACAGTCTATGAGTAGGTAGGTCGGAGGGAGGTCGATGTGCCGGGGAGTCTGGCCGCTTGACACAGGAAGTGGACCCTAGGCCGCAGTTTAATGCCTGGTCATGCAAATGAGGGTCCCATTGCCGCTTGCTGAGACTTTAGCAGCCATATGTAGTCTGCTGCAATGACACCGACTGCGAATACACAAGGGAAGTCGGACGCAGTACGTAGACCCGTCTTCAGAAAAGCTTGCTCGTAGCACAGGGTCTGAACCTCAAATCTCAACGCGTAATGCCAGCCGGGAACCGAAGGCAACTTCGACATCCGGGGCGCGAATATTGCAGCCCAAAGCAGTTAGAAAACTAGACGACTCGCGTACCAGATCAGACGTTTAGCCATCAAATAGTTGTGCGTACATTTGTCTTCCAAAAATTAAGGACAACCGACTGCTTTTCGTCCCCCTGAAAACCCGTATTTTTAATCATGTGGTAGTTAGGGTCTAGTTCCTACTTCACAAACCCGAATATACGTTAAGGCAGTAACTGCCCGGTGAGTGTGTTCCTGCACTGCACCGAATCTGAAGTGACTGATATGCTTGCCAAGCAAGCATGCTTCCAAGCATCGACTTCATGGATAGCTGAACTCGAGTTCTGGAAAAAGAGAGTTTAAAAAATTCTAAGTGCTAATTTCAAAGGCCGTAAGAGTGCCTATAGATCGAATTCTTTCGGGTGGACTTCACGTCCGCGAGTACGGGAGTACAAAGAGCAAGGAGAATCCGACAAGTAATTACAACTGGCAGGTCCTTACTACAGTTGTGAGTTAAATAAACAAGTAGCGGCCGAATAGGCAATCACGAGCCAGGCACCCCGTCAGCGGTCACGCAGACCGATGTTCGATCAACGAACCCTATGCAGGCGTGGAAAATGTGTTCCGCCGGCAAAATAGGGGAAGAGACAACCCTCCCTCCCTCTCTATTCCGGAGCTCCTGTGCTAACATTCATGATTAGACTTGGTGTGACGGTCATGATTAGGACGCTGGAATACGTACCCCTCCAGGGGTTTTGCTCAAGGAGTACCTATTCCCGTTTCCTACCCTTCCACCATTCCGTTGAGGACTGCGCCCACTGAACAGAATCTCTATTCGCCTGCGAAGAGGGCTAATGTACCTTACCTGTATCCCGTCCTCAATCTCATGACTATCGCGATTCGTGGATAGCATGCCCTCGCGGCGCTTTATAGACTGTAATCGAAAATACTAGTCCCATTTGCAGAGTCTGCACACAACCCAGCACTTTTACCACAACCTACTGCCCGTAAGTCCCCCCCCCCATGGTGATCGGTGAGAAGCCGAGCGCCTTTATTCCCCACTCACTTAGAGAGCACATCCCTTCTTGTGCACAGCGACTGGCGAACAATACAAAGATGATAAAAAGATACCTGTTACTTGCGGACGCGAATGACAACAGCAGTACGACTTCGTAAGTCATACTCGGCTCACAACAAACGAGGAAGTACCTCGAAAACGGACGAAAGCTATAGGCGTCAGTTAAAGTACCTAGCGGGTGCGTCCTTCATCCTTCACGCAAAGACTACGATGCGCGTACGGGACACAAAGTCTGGATGGTCGATGTGCACAATGGGGACAAGACGTCCTCGATGCCACATCGAGAAAACGTTTAAGACCCCTACCAAAAACGATTTTAGAAGGCTGTCAGGACTTCCGAGGATATTTGGCAGTGCTTATGTAGGGGTTCCAACTCAGCCACGCATGTTTAACAGAACTGTGACCAACGACCTAATGAAAGGCGAAACGCGTGGGGCCCTGGGTTCGCTCCCTGTATATAAATCGGTGGATAATTTCCCAGTGGAGCGTAGATGTTAGAGGCAAACGGCGCAAAAACGCTGGACCATCGGCCAACTCTTTCCTGTTTGAGTGGTTCAAAACCGGTTGGCCAGCCGTCTTCCGAACGAAACGAGTGGGGAAATACGCCGACGTAGGTAAAATACGCCAAATTGTGCAACGCAGGGCATCGGCGGCAAGAAACCATGCTTGCCCACATAGATCATAGATGGCAGACTCTCAAAGGCCCGTCGTCGGGAGAGGGGATTATGCACAGAGAGCACAATGTAAGCGAAATAGCTAGACACCGGGGGAGGGGGCCGATGTTAACAAAATTCTTTTATCAGTAGGGCTTGTACGGACGCAATTGCATCTAACGAAAACACAAGTTATCTCGCCTTAAGAAAATAAACTGGAGGCAAAACCATCGTGTGCATAGCTGGATCTGACAAAACATCAAAATCTCTAAGCAGCTGCGATCATGAACGCCGACAGAGAACAGGTCCGGAACCCAGAAAAGAAGGTTCGAACAGTCGTCATTGTTGGCCGGAGAATACCCGGAAAGTTCAACCAGAGCGCGCCATAGCTAGCCATCTAGTAGTCCGAGACCCAAGGCAAACCGTGGTTTGCCAGCGATTTCCTGGGGTTGCCTGATGGATAGGTCGTGCTACCCGTATTTCCTGGCCTCGAAAACGGGCACACTCATCGACTCATCCAACATACGACTTTGGGGTCCCAGGTATGTGCCGGGCTACAGGTGAAGTCTCATTAGATAATTACTAACATTTGGCAATTCAACACACAGATATGGCCTGCGACCCTTTCATAACCATTTGCCAGATCGGCGGCCAACCAGGCCTGAGAGTAGTACTAGATTTACGCGACCGCTCGCTCGTCAGACGTGAGGTTCAGCATAGTTCCCGATCCATCAGCGGAGGCTGTACTATTATTCACCACCCTTGGACGAGCAAATTACCCGGCAGCATAGTTAACGGATAAACCAGGTGTGAATTATCCACAATCTGGCGGCCCACCTAAATATGCTAAGAATAAAAGTGATGCCCTGACACGGCGGGTGCTGGCTGCCATCCAACAAGAGTCCCTCTTTAGTCCGATCGAGGCCGGAATCTTCGTCCTGACGATATATCCGTGAACATCGCACTTCTTGACGAAAGCCGCTCAGTGCTATGACAGCCGCGGCAACCAACGTTCTCGGAGTTCTACTAAAATATCGATTATGCTTAAGGACGACTTTCGACGGAGAGAATACGTGCTGCCTGCTTAAGAGTGCACTCAGGCCCAGGTACCCTCGAGGTGCGCACTCCCTCAACCCAGGGTACCGACGACGCATATTTGTCGGAATTCCGGCGTACAACACCAACCGTGGCGCGCGCCACGATCACAGAAATGGCGTAGCCCACAAGCCACGTCAGTGGTGAGCTAAGTAATTGTGGAGCAAACACTTCCTGCATCGCCCGCACTACTTAAATGCACGCTTACAAACGCTAATCACTCCCCGTTCCCCTAACCTCGATGAGCCCCACGGTTGGCTTAATGAAGCCGTGTTCCATACTCCCCTAGGCGATGACACAGGTTGGAGCGCACGCGCGGCCGTGCCTCCGGTAGACCTCGCGCCCGCAATCAGCATTTGGAATAATCAGATGGTCGGTCAGACCACCAAAAAAGTCGCAGCGGGGAGCACTGCCGACCCGAGCAGCCCGCCGATCCTACTTGTGTCTAACTTTCTCCAAAGCTCCACATTATTGCGCGCCACCGCCCGCTGCAGAAATTCAAACAGTCATCTAGACAAGCGAGACCCGCAAGGAATCCCATGAGCGCGATTACGGCGTTATTATTGGGCGGCTTAAGATTATATTTCAGAGCGCATACCCGACGGTTTCCATCCTGCGGTACTGGGGCTGCGTTGGGACCACGGGTCCCAACTTTGTGGACTCCTCAGAGGTCTGCAGGAGCATACCCCTGAACCGTTACCACGGAGTGTAAAGCCAGGGACACTCCCATCCATAGGATGCCTTGTGATGAAACTCAAGGGTCGGGGCACTGCTTTCAAGAGAATACGACCGGTCTTCTCAGCCCCCCTATTGAGTTCAACCCGGCCAACCAAAGTGCACACTGGGAAGCTGTGGACTTCGCCGTTATGTCCTGAAACTCTTAAACTTGATTGCAGCATAGCACAAGCCCATGCGACAAGTCGGCGCTCTCAAAACGAACAAAGGATCCCGACTCTGTAAACGCCACTTCACGTCTCCAGGGCAGACCACGACGTCGCCTGTACTGGCTACACCCCCCATTTGGAATCTTCGCCAGCGAACGCCTGGTTTCGATCGTGGTCGCCATTTACCGCAGATCCGGCCTATACTGCAACGTCGGGATAAGAGCAATCCAACTCAAAGGTCCTCGTCCTCCCAGATGCACCAAGGCAAAACACGGCCGACTTTCTTAGTTTTCTTTGGTTCCTCCGTGGTACCAGTATAGTCTACTGAGGCAGGACGGATGACAGCGGACACAAGACGGCCCAGCCACTGTGAAAACTTTCGACATCTTTCTGTGAATTTGTAATCGAAATACGAGCGGATGCAGTTGGAATAATGATGCAAAAAGCAGACTTGGGAAATTAGGACTTACAAATGCTAAAAGATGTCATCAAGTCTAGGAAAAACATAAATACTGCAGATTTAGGCTGACTTAAATGCATAGCTGCCATCCTCTACCTGTCTGTTCCGATAACGTATAAATACCAGCATTGTCATTTGAATCTCACAAAAAAGACTTGACACCCGCAACTCAAAGTATTCCTTTATTCCAAAAGCACCAGTTTAGAACTGAATCATCTGGCCCTTCTTCTTCTTGTCACCGCCAAGCTCGAAGTGTTTACACCGCTTGATTCGCAGCTGGTGCTTGTATTTGCACTCGGTGCACTCCAACCGAAGAACGATCTTTTTAGTGGTCTTCGCCTTCTTACGGAAGATGGGCTTCGTCTGACCACCGTAGCCTTAACAAAGTAAATGATATGAAGGTGACGTACCCGACTGTTTTCGGTCATATCTCCTTTTACCTTGGGCGTACAAACTGGCTTTGCCAGCTTTATACTGAGAAACTTTGTGTAAGGTGTGCTTTTTGCATTTAGAACTTTTGCAAAAAGTCTTTCTGGTCTTCGGGATATTTACCATCTCCGCACGCTTATAGCCCAATTAAAAGTGGCGCGCCGGAGGGCATGATTCATTTAAAGTTGACTATCAATAAACGCAACGCCAGTGTGAACATATAGTCTTGAAAGATTCAAATCCACAAGAAAACTAGCCGTATCTTATTCGAAAGAGTGACTTTTGATGTCATTTTTATCCTCAAATAAATGTTTCATCGGCCACGAAGACGCGCTTTTAACCAGCGCTCAGTTCCTGGGAGGAACATGTTTAGTCATAGTCATTCACGGCTTTACGCTTTCCCAAATGATGTTGTTTCTTCGGCGAAATCTCTGCTTGTCTGCATTCGCAACCTAGGCGTTTGAATGCTCACTGGTGGTCTACATGTTAATAGGTTTTGTTCGGCGTGTATTGAGAAGTACCATGAGATAGCCGTGTAAATCGGTCGCCCTTAACATGACTAGTATGTGCTTGCAATGCCCCACACAGAACGCATTCATGAAACACCATCGAATACGTTTGTTGGTTTACTCTTTTCGTTTTTATAATGCAGATTATATCTAATCTAGGGCCTTGATTTGCCTTGGACCGCTTGAATTCCACATCTAAACAAAGGTTTTCAAAACATTACCACACTTCACTAACAGCCAGCTCTCTCACTTGTTCTCCACACCTGTGAATGATTTACCGCAAGAAAACACGTTTTTACCTCTCAATCGCTCAACCAGTTTGCGCAGTGTTTCGAACCGGCCGTGGAGTTTATGTGCTGGTATTCGATTCCCTTGAATTTTCCGAGACATTTAGTGATGCATGCGAGACATTAAATGGACTCAAGCCTATCATACTGTTGCAAGGGATAGAGAGAATAGAGTGAACCTCTCCCCTAAGTAGGGGTGTCCAGCGGTGGGTTCACGTAACGGCCGTAGTAGGTCGCTCACTTGCTTTCAGGTGTAGACTACGCCTAGCGTCCACTTGTCGGCGCCAAACTCTCGCCTGTGGCTCCCCGAAGCTGGTATCTGCCCCGTGGCCACACCCCGGTAACCGCCTCGACCGGCGGGCTAAAGGAGGTGAGGGCATCCGTGTGTGCATCTGCGCGCACAGTATTGTGGACTCCGCTGGTCGGCTGGTCGGATAAAACTTCGCATCAGCATCGTCGAGACGAGGCTCCGTCTGGTACACGGTAGGGGACCAGAAGTTTACGGCGATGTCGAGTCCGTCACAGGCTAACTCGGGTTGTTTTTCCACCAAACAAAGACGTGTCCTGGAGTGGAGTTTGACAATGCGTGACACTACTGGGCCGCCTTATTTAGGGCGGCACTGCTCACCCCCGAGGAGGAAGGGGCTAGAAAAGGCGCCCAAACTAAATACTGGGAAGCACGCCGTCTTCAGGCTGACCGTGGTTACAGACGTCAAAATCACGGTCAAAACAACCAACAAAGAAACAACACACTCTCTCTTCCTCTTCCTCTTCCTCCTCTTCCTCCTCTTCCTCCTCCTCCTCCTCCTCCTCCACCACCACCACCACCACCACAACCACCACCATCACCACCACCACCATCATCATCTCCTTCTTCTTATTCTTCTCCCCACCGCCCCTCTCAACAGGCTGGTAGGGTTAGTCCGCTCACTCTGGCAGCCCAGAATGTTCGTCCGCTTTTAGACAATCTGAGGAGCTACCGACCGGGACAGAGGACGGCGCTAGTGGCTCGGGAACTGGCGCGCTACAAGGTGGACATCGCTGCACTCGGCGAGACTCAGTTCTCCGAACAAGACTAATTGGAGTAGGTGGATGTCGGCTACGCCTTCTTCTGGAGCCGTCCCCCCAGGGCAAGCGACGAGACGCGGGCGTCGCCTTCGCCATCCGGAACGACATCGTGGGACGACCGCCCTGTTTGCCGCAGGGCATAAACGATCGCCTGATGAGCCTCCGTCTGCCTCTCCGGGGAGGCAAATTCGCCGTCATCGTCAGCGTCTACGCTTCGCCATGACCGGCCCTGACGGCGCAAGGAGCAAATGCTACGAGAACCTGCGCGCCCTCCTAGCATCTGTGTTGAAGTCGGGCAAGTTAGTTGTCCCTGGATCCCTGCAGAGGGGTGCTAGGTCCCGATGGTCTCAATGACTCCAACCACAATGGCCTGCTTCTTCTACGAACCAGCTTTGAACACGACTCATCCAGACGAACACCTTCTTCCTCCTCCCGATGCGAGCGAAGACCACCTGGATGCACCCTTGGTCGAGGCACTGGCACATACTGGGTTATGTCCTTGTCCGGAGGCGAGACCAGCAGAAAGTTCCGGTGACAAAGGCAATTGCGGATGCTGACGGGTAAACCGACCATCGCCTCGTCATCTCGAATATGCGGACTCGCTGACAGCCTCGCAGTAGACCACAAGGTAAGCGGTCCCCAGGTAAGATTAATATTGCCTTGTTATGTTTGCCTTCTCCCCATCTACATTTCAGCAACGAGTTAGCTCAACGGCTAGACAACCTTCCAGTCGCTGCCGCCACCGCCGCTGACGAGAACGCCTGCGTGGAGAACCGACGGTGTCAACTGTGGGACACAGTCCAGTCGACGGCGCTGGCCTTCCTCGGTCGCGCACGCCGCCAACACCAAGACTAGTTCGAAGACAACGCCGCCGCTATCAATAACCTGGTTGTCAAGATGAACCGCCTGCACAAAGCCTACGTCGACCGCCCCACCGACGACAGCAGAACGGTTTTCTACTGTAGTCGTCGCCTTGTAAAACAGAGGCTGCACGAGAAGCTGGACGCCCGAACGGTCGAGGACATCCAAGGGTACGCGGTCTACAACGAATGGAAGAATTTTTCTCCGCGATCAAAGCCGTATACAGACAGCCAACCAAAGGTACTGCACCCCTCGACCCCCGCTCTCTCTCCATGAAGCCATCAGGGCCGCACAGCAGCTCTGCAGCGAGAAAGCGTCCGGATCGGACGCGATCCCAGCTGATACTTACAAGCATGGCTGCCTCCAACTAACAGATGATTAGACGGCTCTCTTTCAGGGAATATGGCGTCGAGGAAGAGTCCCACAGGATTTCTAAGACGCCACAATCGTACATCTATACAAGCGAAAAGGCAACCGCCAGCTCTGCAACAACCATCGAGGCATCTCCCTGCTGAACATCGCCGGAAAAATCTTCCCTCGCATTTTTCTCAACCACCTGAACAACCATCTAGAACAATGTATTCTTCCGGAAAGCCAGTGCGACTTCCGGCGCCATCGTGAGACCACGGACATGATCTTAGTCGCCCGCCAAATGCAAGAGAAGTGTCAGGAGATGCGGAACCATCTGTACTCTATCTTCGTGGACCTGATGAAGGCCTTCGACACGGTGAATCGTGAAAGACTGTGGAAAATCACGCAGAAATTCGGCTGTCCCGAGCGATTCACTCAGATGGTGCGTCCGTTCCACGATGGCATAATGGCGTGCGTCACGGACAATGAAACTGTCTCAGAGGCATTCACGATGACCAAGGGAGTGAATCAGAGCTGTGTCCTGTCGCCCATCCTCCGCAGTCTTAGTATAGGTCAGCATATTTTAAGGGTATTAGGCAATGCCTTTGAAAACCCTATTGTAAACGGCACATACAATATCTAACTCTAAATAAACGTGGTACTAAAATGTTGCCAGTAATATATGCACTTAACAGAATATTTTTCGTTGGAAATGCTGGACCGAAACTCAAGAACACTCAGTTGTAGATGATATCGGTAAAATGAAATGACAGTCATCCGCATTAGCGCTAGGTGTATTCAAGGCGTTATTTTGGCACCACAGAGCTGTTCTGTCCAGACAAGCGGTATTGTCCAAGCAAATATACATCTAGTCTTTGCTCGAACGTCTTCGTGGTATCCGCTCTTATTACGTCCTCGGGAAGCCCGTTCCAAGCACCGATTACTCGCTGTGAAAACAGTATCTGCGAACGTCCAGGCGGCATCGGGATCCTCGAGGTATTAGAGGGTTCCCACACAGGTTTGTTGTTGTGACCAGGGTGAAGAAATCTGCCATGCTGATTGACGCCTACCGTTCCGGTTATGTAACACTGGACAGGGTTGTTAAACACCACATCAGACCAGCATATGGTAATGTAATAAGAAAAGGGGTTTATAGTGCATGAAATCTATGTTACGATAATAAATGGATAGAGTAGAAGAAGTGGGAAATAACGAATACAAGAGAATACTGAGGTACTGTGCAAATGATCCATTTGGAGTGGGTGGTGGTCACGTCACATTAGTTAAACATCAGTGAGGGCTGCAGAGCTGTCGGAAACTGTGATTAAGAGCCGGAGAATGTGCTGACAATAAGGGAAACGAGTGCCGAACCGACGCTGAGAGCGGAGGAAATGGCATCAGCGGTAGGAGGGTAAGGGACACTGGTCGTCTTCACGATCACACCAGACCCATCCGGGCCCCGCATCAAAGTGACCTCAGCTCGTTTAAACGACCCTGTGGAACTTGTGGTGCGTCACATAATCCCCGCCTGAGATGCAGCATTATCCTCAGTGTTGATGGTATAGGTGTTCGGAGGGGGGGGGGGTGTTGATGTGTGCTCCCCCCTATCCCACCGCCGCCATCAGTGTGGTACCCGCGTTAATAATCTCGTCTTCAGTGGTCGTTTCGTCGGATCTTTCGGCGTGCTTCGCCGCAGGACTTATAAGAAAGGCTTCTCCAATCGATTGGTCGTGTTGGTTGATAGATACATTTGCACTATTGCCCAGACGGCCAGTCGTCAAATAGCGATGTGAATGAGAATAGTTTGTTTCGAGATATAGGTAAAATAAACAGTAAAAAACAAGATTACAGACGTAGATAATATCCTCGACGAGTCAGTCGCGGGAGTTCTCTCGGACAATAAATTCCAGATCAGTATTTAGGCAAGCAACGGGGGCGTAGAGCTGGAAGCCGCTTTGGGGGTGGGGCACAGTCTTCAACAGTCGACTTTGATATCACAAAAGCACTCTGCCGCTATTCTGTCTCTCTTTTGAAAGTCACTTTAGTCAAAAAAAGGAATCACATCACCTTTGTCCCTCACACAAGAATTTCCGCTGATGTGGGGTGTCTGTTCCAGAGTCCCATAGGTCGGTCGGAGGTTGAGTTCGGAGAGTTTAGCTCATGAAAACACTGGTTAGAGGCACATTTGGAAGCTGTGATTATGTGTAGTTAGACTGCTAATGTGTCGATGTTAAGGTGTAGATATTCACAATCTACTGCTGAGCGGAGGCCGAGGTTGAGCCTGGAAAGAAGAATTGCCTTTAATCGTTGGAAGAACCCTGACAAGTGCATGGTGACCACGCGCGAAGGTGATAGGCATGTGGTTGCTCATCCTGTCGCGGACACGGATGCTTTTCTTAATTGATATCCTGATATTGGGCCCCTCTAAAAGTTCTAAAACACCTCGATATGTAGACAGACTATGCGACATGGGAACTGAGTGCAGGCTTGACATCTTGCCGCGGGATAGAGGGAGAGGAGTTAGCTACTGAGTCCGATATTGTCCGCGGACTTTGCATGTTTGTGCTGGTGTATTTGTATGCTTATGAATAAGTGCTCCTGTGCTAGAGCACTGCGGGCTACATAGAGCTTCTGGTATGTCGTGCTTTACTCCGGTCGAAAAGGGAATGCTGAGACGTGAGCCATATACAAGATTGATTAGAAACAGCGTCAAAAGCTCTGGTTAGGCTTAGATAAACTGAGAATGCGTCAATATAAAGGTCCAGGCCTACGGATATGAAGGCATATTTGTATTTAGAGCCGAGATCTAAGGACAAGAACTGTTTGTGAGCGATAGGTGTGTCCCATAACGGGCTACGCTGAAGATGCGCTAGGCTAAAAGGGGAGACAGACTGAGATACGGCATGCGTTAACCGGACCGAACAGAGTTCACCCAATCCATCACCAACGCACAGGATGAAGCGTGGCGGCAAGCCTAGGTGCAGGTTTCGCATCGCACCAACCACTTGCACCTAATCCTAGCATCAGATGACTAACCGCCGTAGACAGCGGATTGGTGCATGGGAGATAAAGAGAGAGAGAGAGGTCGACGCTGGTGACTCAGCTCTCACGACACTTTCGGCACATTCCTCCGGACAGAAAATCTGATTTGCTTTGAAACTACCACGAGGCGGTAAAAGTTCTAGCTTAGAAGGCTGCCAACCGACAGGATAATTTAGTCCCCTCGGGACAGAGATTCACATTCAATGACTGCCACTCCGATGAAATCAGGGCTTCACTCGTATTTCTATGAAGTGACAGTTTCGTGTGCAGCACGCATAGATGGGCTGTTTAGCTTTATCATCCACCGAATCCGCCCCATCACTGGCCACCCTTACGTTGTGATGCCATCGAACCAAGGTGGGAAAAGGAGAGAATGTGGTAGATGCCACGGAAGTCTACTATTATCGTGCAGGAATTCATGCACAAGTTACCATTCCCCGTCTACAATGTTGTAGGGTACACGGCGAGCATTTTATTTTACGACGATCGAAAAATCGCCGCTCAGAGAATGACACTTGGCGTGGGTTTTTAACCCTTCAGGTCAAATTAGGAAGTTATAACCCGTAATATTATCACAACAACTACTATCGTCACCACATTTGTTGACAAGAGTATTAGTGAGAATTGTGACGGTGAACCTCAGCTCAGTTTATTTGAGGGAAATAAGTATACACCTTCAAGCTCTCTATTTTTCACATCCAAATCAAAGGAATCAACATTAATGTGTAGAAATTAAAGCGTCAAATGAAAACGGACTTAGGTTTAAGGTGGCGCAGCCATATAGTACTCTTGTTGTAGCATCACGTGACTGTTAAGGCAACGTTCGAGGTGACGGGGACATCACACCCATATCTGGCAGGTAATTTTATGGCTTCACTATGTAGTTTGAGAAAGAGCTACTTGCCCAAATCTCGACTTCCTTGGGATGCACATAATTTGAAGTGGTGCCGTTGGTTGCAGTGGCGAGTTGGAAGAAACCCCATACAGGAGTGCCCAGTTCAAACCCCTCACGACAGCAAAAATCAACATCAAGCGCTCGCGCACTTGCTTTTAACTCAGAGGGCGGATATCTAGGTTAGTTAAGCGGGCCTCATATGGTGATTTTCCCCGATTTTTTGCTAATTTAGTTGGTCGCGTTTGCACCCCTTCGAGTAGGCTGTAATCCTATAGCGTCTAGTATTTCCATGCTTGGGTCACACATACAAAGCGTGGTCTACCAAACTCGTCGAAGAATTTGAAGAGGCGGTCTTCATCGAAGACGAAAAATGTCTGCTTGATGATTTACTTAATTAAATTTGCGACCTGGCCGCCTTAAAACTGTATGTTGAAGGTTTGAGATTTTCCGTCCTCCAACTGCCAAGCTCTTCCTGTAGTTTTGCTTCTCGGAGTGTCTTTCCGTTCAGACGGCGAGTACGTGAATCGGGGACCTTTTTTCGACCTCCCAAGTGCAGTATGATGCTCGTTACAGTTAAATAACAAGAGCTCTTGGCGTAGTCCCTCTCTCAACCACCAAATATATTCTCAGGGGCACTTTCATCGGCAGTACCGTGGGCGGCTTTTAGGTTTTGACATCGACCGCAAATATGGTACACACGCAGTCC